AAAATCCCTCCGGCTGCATCGCTTAACCTATTGTAGCAGGCTGTTAAGAGCACAGAGCCACATCCTGCAGCTGGTGGGTAAATGTGGACAAGTATTATTAACAAGTAAGATGGGTTTTTTAAAAGGTGCATTAGACTGAGTGTGCTGATGCATTTTTAACTGAAGTTGATCATGACTGATGAGTCGAGCCGATATTCTAACTTCACTATAACCACCAATGAAAAAGCGACGAGCATCACTGCAGAATTTTGGGCTACTTAAGTCAGAAAACTAAAAAGGACTGACTCATTATACTTAGACTCATCATTTATAGATTTGATAACTTTAAGACCAGTGGAAATGAATGAGATACAACACAATGAGTGGGTGTCAAGATCAGTGCTAATATCTATTTACGATATAAGACACTATATTGGATTTCTGCAGATATGCCACTATCTTCCAACTCATTGCGCACCGATATAAATATATGCACATAATTTTCCCACCTAATTGCAGAGAACATCAAGTTTCTCCTCTAATGGAATGAACTTATGCATGCTCCTGTTGATGACACTCTGGTTTGTGCAAAAAAAAAAAAAAAAAAAGCTTTTAGAAATGGACACATTCACTGGCAAAATAAGAAAAATTACAGATGTGTTTGTTTATGTTCTATTTACCATGTTTGGCCTTTATTTTAATACGACAATAATAATGATAATAATAAATTTATTTGCATATATGACTTTTTATTTCCATCAGTTTTGCTACATCCAGCATTTTTGGTGCACGAATTATGATCTATGGTGGATTTTCTGTGCACTGCATGTGTCGGATTGTATACATCAGGTTTTTCATGAAAACAAATATACTAATTATGCAGAGGTCTCAAAAACTCATGTGTCAAATACTATACACGTTGCATTGCAGGGTTAAGTCGGTGAGTCAGCTCAGTGTTTCTGAACCTGGACGTGAGCGCATGAAACATGAATGAGGTGGAGTTGGCAGCACATGAGCCATCATAGACATGGACACGTCTACTGGCACCAGAGTGACATGTTTTACAAAAGAAGAGCAAATTGTAATTTAGAAGAATATAAAGAATACACAAAACTGACCACAAGGAACACAGAAGCTAAAGTAGGAGGGAAAGCTGCAAAAACCTGCTGAATGTTAACAGGATGGTCAACACTACAAGCAGATCAGTTCACAAATACAACAGTATATTTTATACATGACTGTGGTGCTTAGCTGTGTTCTTACCACAGTTTTATCCCTTCAGTTGCAGCCCTGGTGATGTTAAACAGTCTGGGAGTGAATTAAAAATGAACATAAAAGCATAATTCAAAGTGCTAAGTAGGCTGACTCTGGTATCGTATAGAAGGCTGCAAGATAAGCGTGTACGACTTTATATGTTTCTCACAAGAACAGCAAACGACAATCTTAAACCAACATGAGAAGTTTAAAATACAACACAGGCTAAAAACAGCAGAACTGCAGCAGCCAGAGTCAGGAAAGAGAGCTGCAAAAACACCCGGACTGGGTGAAAGCGTAATTAATATGCTTATCAGTATCACTGTTCTTCAGTGTGTAAGTTGCTCAGATGTAGGTTTCTTATTCACAATTCAACATTCAGTTATTATCATGCATCACAAGGTTGTATAATATAAGATGTTGTCACTTTTCTGCACTAATGAAAAACACACATTAGTCAAGTAATAAAATCAGACTGTTTTCACTGTGATGTGGATAAACTCAATCATCTCTCAGTCCTGTTCTTACGGGGCATAAGACCTTTATTCTGATTCCTTCAGCGACTCGGTGGTGGATCTTCTAAAGCTGATGCCCGTTTTCAAGAGAACTGAATGGTCAGTAGGAGTTTTATATGCGCTGATCCCGTTTGTGGAACATAAGCTGCTCCGGAGCAGGTTAGCTTGAGTCACTATATTAATGTACCTGCTAAGAAGTGAACCACCATCATAGTCCTGAAAACTCAGAGTTAAACCTGAAATTATCTCAATAAGATCAAATCCTGCTTCGTAGTTTAAATCAGCGTTTCATGGGAGTGTAGGTCAATCCCCACACAATGAACAAATGCTTCCAAAAAAGACAGTTTCACTTTCCCTTTTATACAGATACATCGTGTACGTGTACAGTATCATGTATATGTTTACTCTACATCTTATATTTATAACTAATTCAGCCCAGATGTGGATCCCAGGTCGAACCAATCGGTCATATCAACATGCAGCCACAGAACAAATCGACTCCACAGCCACCGCTGAGGACCAATCAAACTCCCTGCAGGAGGGACCACATGAATATAATGATAGCGGATACCACAGACGAGTGTACATGTTGTCTTTTGTCTCCATTTAGGCAAAACCTACATGTGGGTTTAAATCCGCAAATCAATGGACAAAAACAAATATTTTTCGCTTGGTTCTTTGGAGCAACACTCAGAGCTGTGAAAAGATATTGTTCTCACCAAGAACACTATTGAGACTCAACACAAAGCCCTGCAAAGAACAGAAAAAGTTAATTCCTGAAGATATGGGTGATGTTTGGTGAGTTTTTCATTATGAGAAATTTATATTCAAATATAACTGAACAAAATATGAAAAACTCTCCTAAATCCAGCCATTCGCAGCAAAATAATCAGCATTGACATGAAAACGTGAACAGTAGAAAATGAAAAACACCACGAGACTCTCCTCATCTGCAGACCGTCACGTTATCGATTCATAAAAATGTGTCACATGGTGGCAGATGGACAAATGAAAACAGCTGATTAATCTTTTGCCGGCTGGCAGAAAAGCCATAATTCTCAAACTCACTGTTTGTCGGACAAAATATCCAGAGACCCAACACTGGACTGAGAATTTGTGATTTGTGGCATTTCTCACTATTTTCTGCATTTGCTACATATTATAGATAACAAGGAAATAATCAATCGTGGATTAATGGTTAAATCTCTTCTCATAAGCAAGAGCAGGAGCTGTTTATTTATTTAAGACTGATATTTTTAAAATTGGCACTGGGGCTGCACAATATATCGTTTCAGTATCGACACCATCATATGTGCAAAGCGCAGGACTCACATCACAGTGATCGTAATGCAAAAACAGGCAAATTAACTCACACACATCTTTTGCTTGATATAAAACAAAGTCGTGCAGTTCTCATTTGCCATGACTGATCTACAATAAAAGTTTGATTGAACATAATTAACTCTGATTTATGGTTCTTGGATGTTTTATTTAAGACACAGTTTGCAGACTCCACATGTGCACACTGAGGAACAGGAGAGGAACGCTGAAAAGGAAGATCTGATAGCAAAAAAAAAAAAAAAAACCACAAGATCGGTGTTGTATATTGGAAATAAATCCACTATGGAAAGGAGGATGTTGACCAAAAACAGATTCTCTGTCTACAGCGTCATGCAACTGCTGCCACCAAACAAGGCAACTAATTTGTTTGACAGTTTAAAGCAACTCCACAAAGCTGTGTGTGGAGTGCAAAGCCAGATCAAGATCCTATCCACAGCAAAAACCCATCTAGGATGTCTCTGGAACATTTCTCATGCAGTGCAACACTGGCCGACAGTATTCTTCTGCTTTTTAATTATTTTTCTTTATTTTCTGTGCAGGTTAACTCTACTAAATAAATCACCCCAGTCATTCTAGAATGATGAATTATTTCCAAATAGAGTGAGTCAAGAAATTCTTGCATTTTTTTATATTGTAGAAAAACTAAACATCACAATGTCAGATTTTTCCATAATTTGAACCTTCTTTGGTTACCAGCATGCAATGGCAGGGTTCCTAGTGAAATTAGCCTGTTCCTGAAAGTTACTGATCTGTTCTCAATAGCCTACATGCATGGATAAGGCTTTAAATAGACATTTTAATAGAGTTTATGTCACTGCTCTCTATGCAAATGAGGCAGGACTCCATCAGTGTGGAGGGTTTTCCTCGTCCGTCAGGAGTCTGCTTGCTGCTCTGACAGCCTGAATGAAACACCCAGATGTGAGCTGACTGGGATGTACCTGCAGTCTGAAAGGATACACCTAGAATCCCGGAGGATCCAGCTGTTGCCTCACATGTGAAAAACCTCTGCATGAAACACAAGTGTTTAACTGCTGCATGGATTTGATGCATTGAAATCTCTGCTATCACATGACAGACAAGGCTCTGAAAACACTACCACTGACCTGGACAAACAACAGCACACGACATAACAATTAGCTATCAGCTTTTCCAGTCCAATAACCTACACCTAATGTTTGAACTGTGGACGCGATGAAATGGAAAGGACGTCACGCAAAACTCAATTTAATAATTTAGTAATTTAATATGCCCGACTTTACTGGCAAACAATAGCTACACCTATTGTGAATTAAAGAACCTGTAACGAATCCATATTAGATGTGCTATAATTCGGCATACAGCAGACACACCCAGCAGCGGTTATTTAAACAATATTTAAACTTTTATGAATGGTTCACACCGGCCGCTACCGCCCTGCGAGCTGCGTTTCGCTGAGAAAAGATGGCAAGAAATTGCGGATGAAGCAGGAATAAAGTTGAAATAATGCAGTAAGTAAATAGTTTCTTGTGGCTTCCCTGTACGCCGAATTAATGTGTGGCGTCTCTGCTCTTGATTGATATCCTGATCTAAATAAAAGGCGCGGCGGTATTTCGTTAAAAACCAAATAAGCATGAAATTCTATTTTTTAAAATGGCGTCTGGCACGACGTTCGCTGTGAAAACATCACGCATCAGCCTACCTGAACTGCCGACAGCAAATCAAAGCCTTGTGGAGTCTCATTGTGAAATGAGCCAAATTACCACACACAATGTTTCTAATCAGCCAGGATCAACATCATCAATGAAATGCATCAAAACAGTTGTTCCTTTTGCAAACATGAATGAAAGCAGCGACCGTGCAGCAGACAGACGGCTCCACATAATAGAGCGCAGACAGACAGACAGGAGCAACAGGCGACACAAGTCTCCTCACCTGCAGACACTCAGCCACAGTGAAGGTGTTCCTCCTCCTCACATGAAGCAGAGGAGGCAGAAGGAGACAGCAGCCTCCTGCTCCACTATCCGCTCACTGTGTACAAGTCGCAGTGTGAATTCGCATCTTTTACCTTTCAGACTGAAACCCTGCACAGGAGTGAATGGGAGGAAGGGAGGGGTTCTCTGAGGGAAGCCGCCGTCCACACACTCACACACACTTCCGGTCTCAGCCTTCAGTATAAAACGCTTCATGGTGACTCAAACAAGTTGGACAAAAGTGTTACAGGTGTGTTTTGGGGTCTCTGCAATAAAGACCAATAATTAAAAAGGCATTTTAAACCATAGATTTAAATCATGTGTTAAACATTTTTGTTTATTTTAGATACACCTTCCATCTGTTTTTTCCACTTCTCAGGGTCAGGTTGTGATGACAGCAGGTTAAACAGTTCCTCCTGTTGGATCCCAAGGTGTTCCTACAGGTCAGATAATATATACAATCCCCCGAGTACAGGGGTGTCCAATCCTGGTCCTCGAGGGCCGCAATCCTGCACGTTTTAGATGTTTCCTTCTTCCAACACACCTGATTCAAATCATCAGGATCGTTATCAGGCTTCTGCAGAGCTTGATGATGAGCTGATCATTTGAATCAGGTGTGTTGGACGAGGGAAACATCTAAAACATGCAGGATTGCGGCCCTCAAGGACCAGAGTTCGACACCCCTGCCCTAGTAGGTCCTGGGTCTTCCTGAGGGTCTCCTCCCAGTTGCCCAGAAAACCAAAGGAGACCAATTGCAGCTTCATTTAGCAGATGCTTTTATCCAAAGCAATGTACAGCGATGGCGACAGAGCTGCCATTGGGAGCAACTTCAGGTTCACTTCTAAGGACACTTCAACCGCCAACCATGCAATTAGAGGACAACTCACTCTACCGCCTGAGCCACAGCCATCCCAGATAACCAGATACCTGGTCCCCCTTCTCAGCTGGTTCCTTCAGTGACTCTACTCTGAGTTCTCTCCGACTGGCTGATGCTAGATGATCTTTTTAGACAGAACATGGCTCGCGCCGCCCTTGCAGGTGTTTTAGTGAAATGCTCGGGGAAGCTCATCCTTTGGAAGCTTCCATTTTGTTGGAGACAGCTCAACAACGGAGATGCCTCATTTCTACTAACAGCTACCCTATGGAGGGAACCTGCTTGTATCTGTGACCTCATTCTTAGGTCACTACCCAGGACTCATGGCCATAGGTGAGGATTTTGGAGCCCAGATCAACTGGCAAACTGAGAGTGGTTCCTTCCAGCTCAGTTTTCTCCCAGATCACAGCTGAGACTGCACCCTTCCTTCCATCTGTCCGTCCCATCATTCATGAACTAGACCCAGACATATATATATATTGAATTTCCCTTCTGGGATGAATAAAATATTTTTCTTTTCATTTCATTCATTTCATATGTCACTTCACCTGGAGCAGCAACTCACCCCTAAATTCATGAGTATTTATTAGTTTAGACGGATGTATTTCATGTTTCTACTGTCTTACACACAGACTTTAACTTGTCATAAAGTCACATCTGTTTTGTGATAAAACACGGATGAACGTAGCGTGCATATACAGTACTTTGTCGGGATTTTGTTGAGCAGTTTGTTGGCTTTTGGAAACTGAACACCAACATTTTTTTTCAGGAGAGTGTGTGTTTGAAAGGTTCTTTTGATTTCCAAAGTTGAAAAGCTTGACCCAGGAAACTACTTGCTTGTTCAAATGAGCAGGTTCAAAGCAGATGAAATAACTTATCTAATCATAAAAGACACTGTGAACTATATGTATACTGACCACTGGGCCATTCGGAGCTCATGATGTCGGAGTTTGGTTCATTTTAATGCTCTGATGCACAAATGACATGGCATTGCCAGCCATCAATCACTTATATAGAACATGCTGTAAATGACATGAAAACAACAACAACAATAACAACAACAACAAAGAAACGACCTCATCTCAGTGATAAAACACACTTGTGGTATTTCCCGTTCTGGAGCATCGAGCAATGTGATCTTTGCTGTAGATACCTGACGTCTGTGTTTGGATCTACTTTTACTTTGGTGGCAGACTCCTGTGGAACTCAGGCAGCGCTGTGGTTAACTGGTGCAGCTTGATGCAGCTGATATGTTCACCATGGAGAGAGCTGAGGAACTGAATGGAAACTCCTCATTTGGCAGACAGGTAACAGGTCTGGCATGCCTATGTGTTAACAACAATGAATTTCCAAATAAAAAATATTCAGTTTATTATAATTATCTTCATTGTTATTGGATTATATGTTGTTGTTGTTGAACATTTGACACTGTTATTCTACCGGTGATAACTGAATGTTGAGTAATGTTTTTAGTGAAACAGTGACAAGAAAAAAATCCAGTTATCGGGCTAAAACTGATGGTGAAATGTAAGTGTCTCTGGAAAGCATCACACATGTTAGAAACATCTGGACGCTGACCTCACTTTCCTTACTAACAGCATTAAAAATGCATTTTATCGTTATATTATGAATACAAGGAGATTTTTATCAATGGAGGAAGCTGAAACAGTCGTTCATTCTTTTATTTCCATTCAGCTGGACCACCGTAATGCACCGCTCACACAGATATATATAAAAAATAAAAAACCCTCAATTGACTGCAGCTACTCCAGCGTGAGGCTGCCAGAGTTTGAAAAAGGAAATGTGACCACGTTAACACCTGTGCTGAGGTCTTTTCACAGACTTCTGTAGTACATGCTCAATTATATTCCTCTGACTCGAACGCTGCCGTCTCGTGAAAATATTCCTTCTCAGCTGCACCTTTCAGCAGTCTGGATTATTATTTTATTTCTGCTTCTTTCATTAATTTAAACTCTCGCCATTTTAGATTCTATTGGTAAACCTTTGGTCTTTGTTAATGTTTTGCTTTATTTTATTTTATTTTATTTTTGCTTTTCTAATGGTTTTGATTCACATCATATCTTCTTTTTCTCTGGTTGGTTGCTGATCATAATTATTCTATTATAGTAATAGTTTATTAAAAGTCTCTCTTTGGTCATTCTGTAGATACATCGGTAGAATTATTATTGTTTTTTCTTTTTTCATCCTATGATCCTTCATGCCTCAGATGAAATTCTACACTGTTGGTTCCTCCAGAGTGGATCCTCTCTCCACCTAACCCTCTCCACTCACAGCATCTCAAGGACACCAGCTCACCAACGACTCTGCTCAAACCTACTCCACACTACATTCTGCAAGTTGTAATATTGTGTTCTCATAAATGCTGAAACTGTCAACAGATTCTGAAAAAGAATAATGACACAGAAAGTCCCACCCTGGAGAGTCGACAGGATTTTCTTACATGACAAACGGAACCCTGAAAGTCTGAATCCTTGTTTTTGAAAAATCTTCAGTACTCTGCAGTTTCAAGGTGAAAATACTCAGCCATTGTGTTGAGTGCCGATGTGCCTTCCAGCCTATAAAGAACACCATGTAGACATGTGTACAAGGTAAACAGATCTCTAGCTCACATTTATGTGTTTGTTTTATTGGTATTTACTGATGTCTGATGGTTTTTCTTTGCACCAGTTACAAAGTTTTTGTGGCTGCAACCTTTGTGGTAATGATTTGTGCAGAACATTGTGCCACCTTGTTTAGTTGCCTGGGGAGAGGGGTTTGCCAACGGTTATAATTTAAGGGCCCCACAGCTGCTGGAGTCTGTCCTATAACATGCCAAACAAATTTTCCATCTCCATATCTATAAGTTCATCTATGCTCCGTGTACACCGGAGATAGACTTGGTTTTTTTTTGAGTAACAGAACATAACGTCTCAGCTTTGTTCAAAAACTGTATGTGAAGCTTTTGTGGGACATTAAAGCTATGAGTGTTATTTGCTCGTCAAATTGTTCAGCATGTTGCTCCGACCCAAAGAGAACCAGGTCACACACATTCCTACCGATCCAGGCCATGGCCGTCTGCCTGCCCGCCAATCACAACGCAGCCTTGATCAAACCCAGCACAGCGAGACGTGTATACTCAGTCATTTAAGTGTTGTCCACCACGTGTAATTATCATATCTGACAATCAGGGTGATGTTTTTACCTCAGGCACGAAGCTGAGGTTTCATGTCCTCTGGTCCGTTTGACCAAAACACTGAAAGTGTTGCATTGGCATGAAGCTCACACATCTAACATTTGCCCTAACACCACCATCAAGCTTTCTGTTCTCTAATCTCTCAGTCCTGTGCTGCACATTTCATATCCAAATAACTTTCTCCTAGTTTCACCATCAGGCAGAACCATTTTGGTTACCTTAATCTACACACAGTATTAAAAGTTATATAACGTAGAGCTTAGGGCTTGGTGGAAATCTGCTCTCCGTAAACTGCTTTCATGTGACTGTAGAATTATAGAACTTAGAGACCTGGCGCTATGGGTGGGTCCATTTGGCAGTCCAGGAGAAATCAGCATTAATATAGTTATTTTCTTATATATTTTTTTAAAGTTAGTTGTAATTTATTGTTCATTGTCATTATTTTTGTTATTGGAGGTATGTGCTCTTAATTTTTTTTTGTATTTACCTTTCTTACAGCATTGGTGTGTAAAATACAACGTCTTTGTTGTGGGATTAAAGTCTGAATGATGGCCTAGTTTCTGACGGTAAGTAAATTGTCTGCTCATGACTGGTGGCGAGTTCTGAGTAAGAACGTAAGTGATGTCAGCCTCCTGAGAGCTGCACATTCTTTAAAGCCATTAAGATGCTTCACTTCAACCAACATTCGGCTATTTTTGTTTAAGCACTAGCAAGCATCTTTCCCTGGGAAAGTGGTTCACCAACAACAAAACTCACCTAATGAGGACGGTCACTCAGAAACTACACAACTGGTAGAATCAGTCACCAGCAGCAGTTTTGTGGATTCCAGTAATGAAACAGGAACAAGCATTGATCTTGCACCTCGTTGGGATGTTATCAGCCCATTAAATGGAGCATAATCAGTGCACATCACTCCCATGCATATCGGCCAGTAGGGAGCTGCTCCACCTTCTAGTCGCCTCAGTCGGGACGTTATCATG